GCCTGCTCTCTTTGCAACCCTTGCACAGTAAAGAAAAAGTTCCCAAGAATGTGAGAATTTGTTAATTGCCTCGCACTCACCTTTAAAGCCGTGCCTAGTCATGGCTTTAAAAGGTTCTGGGCAGCGGGAAAAAGGAGCTGGCCCCATCAAACCTCATATGCCCATCCGGGGTGTCAGACTTGGAGAAAGGCCTCACTGTCAGATGATCTCCCTCTATCTCTCTATGGCTCTCTCTCTATGTGTGTATCTATCTCCTTCTCATGACTCCCTGGCTGGCTGTGGCAGGGTGGGAGGGTGCGCATGCACAGGGAGACCCCTCTTAAGCGAGCGCCAAAGGGCAGCAAAGACGCAAACGGGGTGGCCATTTGCTCACTTAGCAGGATGCAAAAGAACACGGCTTCTCTCCTGCACTAAGGCCCCAGCCACTGCCTTGCCGTGTCCCCCAACAGCTCCTCAGCCAGGTGCAGAGGACTCCAGCTCCAGCCCAAAGCAGCAGGAAGCTAAGACTGCCTTATGCACAAATGTGGCGTGAAGGCACAGCCCTGGCATAATGATCATTTCTCCTCTAGTCGCTGAACTGACTGTGTCCTTTTGTGTGTGCATGCACGTTTTTTCATGTGCATAAGTATGCCTTTGCTGGAAGGGGGAAGGGAAGCCTTTTATCTGTTTTGGCTCCTGCAGTTGCCAAGTGAGGGGAAGCGAACTGAGCTACAGTCCTAAATGACTTCTAAAGTGCATGAAGTGGCAGGGTGGCTTTCTTATTCCCTGAGCAGAGCACAGAAGCTCTGGTGACAGAGCGAGGAGTGATAGACTCCCCCAAATGCTCGATGTCACAGGCCAGCAGGCTAATCCTGCTGCACCATCACGCCCCTTGAGTGAAAAGGATGGCAGAAAAACAAAGTTGAGGGGAGGGGGCAAAGCCGAGGGGAGCGGGCTTGTGTGGGCTTTGCTTGTAAACTGCCTCTAAAGTTAAAAAATGAAGTAAGGGGAAAAAAGGTGATCTGTCAGGGCAAGCCAAAAGCTGCCATTTGGATGCTTTTGCTTCCCTCCAGTTAAAGCTCGCGCCTCAGGAAAGAGGAGAGCGGAAAGTCTGAATCTCTCCAGGTGCCGCAAGAGGAATGGCAAGCTCGTGGGGAAGGGGGATATAAGAGAGTGTGACTGCAACAAGAGGGGGGGGGGAGGTAGGGGCAGTTGGTGCTCAGGGCCGTGATGTCAAACCCCTTCCTGTGCCAGGGAAGTGGATGGCTGTGTCCTCTATCAGGCTTGTGCAGACACATGCACATACACACACATGAAAGAGAGGGAGGGAGAAAGAACACAGAGAGATGGAGAAAGAAAGAATGAGAGAGGGGGGAGAAAGAGAGAAATGAGAGAGATGGAGAAAGAGAGAGGGGGGAGAAAGAGAGAACAGAGAGAGAGAGAGATGGAGAAAAGGAGAATGAGAGCGAGAAAGAGAGAGAGGGAGAGAGACCTGTTTAAGTGAACCTTATGGTCATTAAGCGAACACTTTGGTTGTTAAACAAGTCCATTTTCCCCAATGGGCATTTTTAACCGGAAACCAGAAGGAATTTTTGGAAACTGGCAAAAAACATAGAAAACCTCAGTCACATGACTGTGTGGGATGTTGTAACTGGTCATAAATTGTTTGTCTGTGTACATACACATACAGTATATATAGTACTGTAGATAATGTATCTATGGGTGAGCCTATACACACTTTATACTATATAATGTATGTACACATATGGCATATATACATAGGATTAAATAGTATATTTTGGATGTTTAGAAGTAGTAAATAAATAGACAGAGAAATTGTATCTCGTTGAGGCCTTTGAGGTGAGGTGAGGCCAGGCAAGGCACTCCTTGATTGAGTGATGTCAAGTTGGCCACCCCCAGTCACATGACCAACCAGCTACGCCCACCCAGTCACATGACCATGAAGCCACGCCTGCACAGTCACATGGCCAACAAGCCATTTAAATTATGTAACCACAGTCATGTTAGAGATTATTTCTTCTATTATTAGGGAAGTTTGGGCTTAGAACTATCACTTGACTATAGTAATATTAGTGATCTTTAGCTAAAAATAAAATAAAATTCCAACAAATATTTTGTTTCAATTAGATGCTGCTTATACCTTCCATTAATGTATTATAGTTACTTGAGGCATAATTATTGAACAGTATTTTGTGTACAAGAGGGTTGGTTCAATAAAGTTGTGCTTCTCCAAACTGAATCCTCAATCTTAAAATAAACATGACAAAAATCAAGAACTGAAGAATGCACTGATAAAGCAGTGTCTCTGGAATTGTTGTAACAGAAACAGCAGAACTTGCTCGTGTACTGTACATATGAAAGAAATCACTGGAAATTGAGATTGAGCAGCTAATAGTTACATGTATAAAGTAATGTAATGACTAGATTGGTTAGCTTGGTTGAGAAATATTTATCGAACAACCTTTTTATAATTGTTAACAAATTGTGATGAGAAACATAAGAAGAAGAGCTATCTATTACTATTTATGACTATTACAAATGGATTTTTAAAAAACCAAATGATTGAATTCCATTGTGCAAAGAGTTGTGTGATACTTTTTATTCTTTCCAATCTGGCAGAATAAGGACCAGGTCCTTCTATCTGTTTACCAGAAAGGTAGCTTGCCAAAATTAGAATAGGTGATGCCCAAATAGATCATGGCATGGGGGAGAAAAAATTAACGAAATGATTGAGTTCACAAATGGATTAGATCAGAGTGGAGCCTGCAAGAAAAAAAATTAAGCCAAACAAATTCTCCAATGCATTGGAGGCAGTTAGGCAATGGCTTGCCTTTTTCCTTGTGACATGACTTAGAATGGAACTGTTGGAAGAAATTTCCTGAGTTCATTTCCCAGCTGGNTGCCTTTCTTTTCTTAGATTCCTCATCCTTAGGCCTACTTTTCATTAGAACAAGTTAGCCTATGTTGGATTTGTCACACCATGTGGGTGCTCAGTGAGTTTGGTATCAATCTTCCATAAATGTCATGGAAAGATTTCAATATCTGGATTATATGACTCAAAAGTGATTATTGTTCAGTGACAGGGCATTCAGTCATTTCAATTCCTCCCAAAACAAGAACAGATTTATTATTTCTATGAGAATTAGGATTTAGTTAGCTTTCAAAAAGAGGGAAGTGGCTGTGCTATAATACACCCTTGCCATATCTTGGACCTATAGCCATAAATTGAAGAAAAGTTATAACAATCAATATTAAGAAAATAAAGTTAATTTATCATTTTCTAATTCTCACATCGGGGGCAGGATGGCTCAGCATTTCAATATGCTGACCTTGTCAGCTGGAAAGCTGACAGTGCAGTTTCAAGCCCCGAGCACTGTGCAATGAGGTGAGCTCCTGTTAATTGCCCTGGCTCCTGCCCACCTAGCAATGCAGGGACTAAAGCAGGCACCTACAAATAGATAAATAGATAGGCACTACTTTGGTGGGAAGGTAACAGTGTTCTGTGTGCCTCGGCATATACTTATGCTGGCCATATGATTACAAAAGTGTCTTCCCACAATGCTGGCTCCTCAGATAAGAAATAGGGATGAGCACTGAGTCCTAAAGTTGGGCATGACTGGACAGGAGAAATCTTTACTGTGAACTTTTAATTCTCCCATTAAAACAGTTTATGCAGTAAACAGAGTTTAACACATGTAGATGCATTGATTTATTTCTGACCTGTTTGTTGATTTGTTTGTTTGCTACAGACTTTTTTGTTGTAATACATAATGGTGATATAACTACTTAGCCAAGCCAAAACACCTTGAAAGGTGACATCTATCTCAATTTTTACCCCAGCAACTTAATCTACCTTAATCAACCATCACTGTCTTGTCATTCCCAATTTTTTATCATCCCAACCTAGATGTTAACAAAACAAAACAAGTATGAAGCAAAATCTATAACCTGATCTTGGGACCATAAAATCACTATGGGCAGCATTTAGGAAATGAGAAATTGGCACTATGTTGGCATGAGTTTAATTCAGAATGAAAAGATCATTCTGTAATTTAAATTTCTATATGTATCTATATTTGAATCTACGATGCAGAATTTGGTATTGCAGTTATAAAACTAATGTGAGACTCATATTACAGCGTTATAAAAACATATGCTTTCCCTAGCTGTATACTTGTAATACATGTATGACAAAAACACTGTTAATTTTTCAAAATTAACATTAGACTACTCCTAGGCTTCCTGGGGGCGTGGCCTGTTGCCGAGGAGGGCTCCACCGAGCTCCTCAGAGATCTGGTCTGTATATCTA